AAATTAAATATAATAATTTTAATATAAAATATTATATAATAAATATATAATATATATATAATATATATATAATATAAAACATTAAATATAATAATATATATATGTTTTAATAAATTTAACTTCAAATAAAAATAAAAATAAAATTTTTATGAAATAGAAAGAAGTATAGTAATAATATTTTATATCTTTTTGTTTGCCACATTTTTTATCAAAGATATAATCGCATTGGAAAAGTAATCGTCCAAAGTATAATCCCGAATTTTGAAAACTTCTCTCAAGTAAAATATACCAAAAATTCATGCGTCAAACTTCAGACGAAACACATTATTCATAGAACTTTTAGTCATCTTCAATGGACGAACAAAGAAAAACAGTTTTGCAGATTAAGACCGACATTTTCATAGTTCAAAAATTTCGATTTAATTCATGGTATATATAATCTTATTACTTCTGTTATTGGAATGAAATTAATCAAAATTCGATTTAATTCATGGTATATAATCTTATTACTTCTGTTATTGGAATGAAATTAATCAAAATTGATAATTTTTATACATATATTTATATTTTTATTTAGAATGTTATTATAGAATATTTATAATATGTTTATTATGATATATAATATATATACATATTTGATATACATATTACAATATATAATTTGTAATATATATTTGATAGGATTATAATCACATAATATTTTTATATATTTAATAGTAATATTAAACAATATTAAAAATATTAAATTCTAAACAATATAAAAAAATATAATATATTACAATAAAATATTAATAAAAAAAATAATAAATAAAAATAATTATAAATAAAATTATGAATAAAAAATAATATAAATAAAAATATATAACAAATAATATAAAAAATTAATTAATACATTATATATATATATATATATAATTAATTTCATACGTATAAATTTTAAATATATATTTATATATAATATAAATTATAATATATGGTCTCTAATATTTCATAATATATTAAATAAAATTATATCACAATAATTGATCCCAATTGATTAAAACTAAAATTTCAAGAGTGAAAGAGAAACAAGAGAATCGTTGATTTGATTTATAGCACTTTGGTAACAAGTCTAAACGAACAACTCGTTCTCTCCCGGTAATTCGATTATAAAATAATTGAACGAACACACATATTATGAAACAACATTACTCTCAATTTTCCTTTGCCGTTACATTCAATTGATACGACGAATGGATCAAAAAATCAATCGTTCCATTTTTATTTCTCCTCAATAATTCCTTCTTCGCCACCAATAAGAAAGCGAAGAAACCAATAGTAATCTAATCTATCGAATACTTCACTCTTGAAACCATTCGAAATTGCTATTATTATCTTTGTCGCGCTAATTTATCCAGTGTTCCGGCATTTCGCCATCGCATCGTACCGTCACAAAACGATCGATCGATAAGACAAGACATAACTTTAATCTTACAAATCGATCACGTTGCCAAGTGACTATTACCTAAACACTCTTGATGCGTGACTTGAATCACTCCCTCGGATCAAATAAATAATATTTCACTGATCGACAAAACCGCGAATCTTTTTCCTTCATTCATAAAAACATTTCGACACGGCCACGGTTACGCGAATTACACTTTTTCTATTATAGATAATTCTAGAATGGGAGAATTCTACTAAGCTATATATAGAGAGCTTTCAAAATATAATAAATCAAAATTAAATAATATTCAATGAAATTTAATCTGGATATAACTAAAAATAATTTTATGTTAATTCGTTTGGAAAATACAATTGCACTTTTTTTTAAGTAAAATCTTATAATTTTGATTGAGGACCAATCGATGCAATCTTTTAATATTTATGAAAAAATATATTACAGTTAAAAAATTGTTAAATTATTTAAGATCCTGCAGATATTACGGATTGCTTATGCTATAACAAATATTCGAACAATCTGCTATTATAATTTAAATATTATTAAATAATATTCTAAATACTATAAATACTATACTATTCTAATATTACCTATTATTATTTTATTTTAACATTACTTAACATGTTTCTTATTTCTTTTCATAATGTTTTATGTTTCTAATCGAATATGTTATTGGATATCTTCTAACAAGAAAATATATATAAAAATGTACATCAATGTATAAAATTATATTATATAATAATTACCATATAATATCATATAATATAATTATATTACTATATTATTATTATATATACTATATTATTATTATATATACTATATATATATACTACATTATATTATTATATATATATAAAATTATATCTATGCCTTATTATATTTTTTAGAAATATTTTTTAAAAATAGATCGAAATTTGATTTCTGGAAATTCGATTTCATGAAATTCGAATTCGATATATTTTGAGGTTTAAATTTTCTTCTTTTTATAAAATTTTTATTCTATCTAAAATAAAAATCTTGATTTCTAAAATACTTTAAAGAATTATGCTTCGTTGAATATTATTTAATTTTGATATATAACATTTTTTTTATGTCCAATCATTTTTTATCTCCAAACAAAGTTCTAGTTTTGTAGGACGCTTTATATATTATATTTCTGTCTAGATTGTGATGTTAATCGAGTGTCCTGAATTTATGAATGAAGATCTTTTATCAGAATTATCGAAACAATGGACGGAATAAAAATATTAAGGATGAGATAATCGAAACTTTGAAACCTCGAAACTCTTCAAGGCTCAACAAGTTTCGAATTTTCAAACCTCAAAACTTTTTGCTATTTTTGCGATTCGAAACTTTCTTTTTAATTAAATCAATGATAATTTAATTAAGCTCGTATTTAGGTTAATAATAACTAATAAAAATTAATTTTAATATGTTCTTAATTATAATAATTTATAATAAAAAAAAAGTAAAAAAGTAAAACTTGAGAATTTAATTTTTAACAAATTAAACGAATGATTATTGTTAATTAACTGTAATAATTAT